TGGCAGCACTAAGCAGTGAGCAGCGGTGCGTGTTTACCAGACGCAGGGTCACATGCAGAAATTTGTGATGGGAAGCAGGCGTCACGAGCGTCACTTTATATAGTTTATATACATTTAGCGCAACACGAGCGTCACTTTATATAGTTTTGATCGTTCCAAGTCCCCGCCTCAGTGCTGACTTGAGCCCCCCCCCCCTCCCTGCCAATGAGTATGGGTTGAATAGGAATACTGGGTCAAGGAAACCTGAAACATTCACCTGAGATTCTGGAATATTAGCCACCGGAAAGCATCGTCATTGTTTGTTCGTGTTCATGCACGTTTTGCACCACATAGTATCCTGAATGTACCTTATGTGTGTTTGTCATTCCTACTGCTACATATGTTCAGCAAGTCTGCAATGGCAAGTTTTTTCGCGACACATCACCTGGATCAGGACATAAAAATGTACTGCAACATGCAACAGCTTTCCAGTATAAAACGGCTGGTTTTAGGCTAAATGGGTTGAACAATTACCAACCGCAACTGAATAACGTTGAACAATTACTTACTTTAAGAACGTAACGCTTCAAGAACATTGCACGCATATCACGAGCATTTCGACTCCAAGGGTGGAAATGTATCTGTTGGGCATGTCCCTCCCCCTCCCCATGTTGAGCTGCTCCCTCCCGATGTTGGGCTGGGCTCCCGCAATATTGGGCTGGGCCGTCACAATGTGGAACCCGACTTACGACACTGTCAGTTCCTTGGAATAAAAGGTCGAGGGGCGAGGTCACGCATCACTGTGACGCCTCCTAGAAATTAGTGTCGCCCCCCCCCCCCCCCCCCTCCTCCTCGTCACGACACTGGCCCGGATTTCAGACGTTTGATGTTCAGGCCCTTATCCCGTAATAACTAACGTCCTTCGCGCACGTGGAGGACTAGTCATGGGTAGATGTGTATAGGTGTGGTGCACGTTCATCTTTTTTCCGGGGGCTGGTTGTTTGTATTGCATTCTATCGTATTGAATTTTTAACCCATTCATGCAGTATGACTTCAGGATAAGCGTCATCATGTCTAAGACATCAAACCAAAGGTTACATAGCAAGCCATCAGGATAACATAGCGACAATAGTCTTGGGAACAGTCCGCAGGCACATACACACATTGCAAGTAAAATTTGTTGGCCAGTGGAGAGTTTCCCAAAAGCCAGTGCAGGCAAGCACACAGCGAGCGGCTCTCAGGCCTTCAGTGCTCACAGCGATGCACGAAACACGGACAGCGTAGGACGCTCAGTGACGGCCGGAGGCAGCTGGTTCCACGAGGTGGCAGCACGGTAGCGAAACCCCGTCTGTGTGGCAGAGTTTGCACCTCGGCAGCTCCAGGGCTCCGGCCTCGGATGAGCGGGCGGCCCGGCGAGACACCGCATTTGCCTCATCTGCCCTTCCAGTTATCGACGTGTCTGTGGAGGTCGTACAAGTTCAGCTCCACTTTTATGTGCAGACACTTCCTGGTGCACATGGTACATTTTCCGTAGCCCCTTCGAGTAAAATGCATCATGTGCGTGTGTATGCGTCTTTTTGCGCCTCGGACCACCTTCCGTGGACGACAAACGAAAACTATAGTGGGGATTATATCAGATCGTCTTACTGATATATTTTATGTGAATTGCATCCAATTCTAAGCCTCGAACAAAACTCTAGCTTCACATAGGCTTGGAATGGGAAAACAGTCTGCGGTAAAACGGTCTTTCATTGACTGATTTTTACGCTTCATTATACTTGACACTGGGAAGGCAAAGCTAAAGCGGACAAAACTTGGGGATCGGATTTTGGGGCTAGGTTAGATCAGCATTATCGGCTGAACCCCCCCCCCCCCCCACCCCTTTTAAAAAGTAGCACACTGGGGCCCAACTCAAGAGGATCTCTGAAAACCTAATTTTCTGCGCCCGGGTGGCGCCATATTTCTAGCGTGATGTAAAAGACTGTCGCTTGTTCTCAATCTGTGCAGCTTTACGGAGCTACCTGACATTCACGGCTGTCAATTTTATTCACGCACACATTAATGAAGTGAAAAATTTTGTAATGGGGCCACGAGACCCCAGGGACCACTAGGTGAACACACCCCAGACCGACAGGCGCGCAGCCAGAGCCTTGGCCGGGGTGGGGCACAGGGTTGACAAAAAGCCCTCTTGTAGTGGAAGGGCTCCCCAATCCGCCGGAAATGGATCATTTCTTAATAGGAGCATGATTTTCTTTTATATTTTTCACCTTCTATAGCTGCAACAGAAGCCAAAAGCTACCACGATGTCAGTTTTACCTGAAAGTTAAAGCCAATCACTTGAAAAATCATGCTTTAAACGATTGCATGTAATAAATCACTGGCGCTCTTCATTTTACAGTGGTTTAGTGAAATTTTCAATCCCATAAAACTCAGAGGCTTTGTCAGAATGTTAATCTGGGCTCTACAGACATATTAAGGACCACTCGAATCTAGACCGTAGATTGAAATGGGTGAACAATCCCACTGCCGGACGTCTTCCGCCTGTCATTCTGGGACAATATCCCTGATCGATCTGCAGACCCTTCGAGGGATGCATACAGGGGCGGATACAGAGGGGGGAAGCACGGCAGGCACGGAGCACGCTTTCTGTGGGTCCCAAAGGGGTCCATAGGTTCCGAACGGGCCCTGACCTGGCTGAACAGACGCGGTTTCTTACACGTGACGCATCAAAATTAGACGTCTTTGGGCTTCCAGGTGATCAAGAACGGTCGTGAGCGAAAGTAAAGGGCCGACGAGTAGACAACAAGCATTCTTCATTGATTTAGAGGGTGGTGACTGGAAGGTTTTATTGCTCATTACGCTGTCCATAGGCCTTGCACTGTTTCTTGGAGCCCTATAAGCCCACTTGTAGGGTCAATCTGACCATTAAATAGCCTTTTCCGTTGACCCTGACTCCTTTGCATTTGCTCAGAGGGCCCTCGCTGTTGCTGGGGCCCTGCCTGCTAGCGTGCCGGCCACTTTTATCAATTAGGGACCTTCCGCTGATTTTTTTCCATTCGCCTAAAAGGCTCCATACGATAACGCCGCCCCCCCCCCCCCCCCCCCCCACCTATGTAGACCGCCGGTGCATTCTCAGTTTCTCAGGGGCCCTTCATGTTGGGGTCGATCTGTTAACCTGCTTGGGCACACTTGGTCGTTCGGGCCCTCCAAAGTGACCTGCTCGGGCACCCTGGATTGCCCGGGAGACCTGCACATTGGGCTCTGGTATTTGAATGTGAGGCTCTACGCTCCTGTCGGGAGCCATCTGATAGCCTGCTTGGGTCTGCTCGATCTTTAGGGGGCCCTCCGCATTGGGTTTGGAGTATTTCTTATTTGAATGGAGGGCCCTACGCACTTGTCGAAAGTCTATCTGTTAACTCGCCCCGGCCTACTCGATGATCCGGGGGCCCTCCGCACCGTGTTATGAGTATTTGATATTTGAATGGAAGGTCCTATGGTTTTGTCGAGGGTCCTATCTGGTACACTGTTCTGGCCCACCCATTGTTCGGGCGCGCTCTACATTGTTGTGAGTATTTCTTACATGAGTGGAGGACCCTATATTCTTGTCGAGGACCCCATCTCTTAACCTGCCCGGGCACACTTGATCGTTCGGGGGCCCTCCACATTGTGCCTTGGGTACTTCCTATTTGAATGAATGACTCTATCTTCTTCTCGTGGGCCTCACCTTTTAAGCTGCTGAGGCCAGTGGCGGATCCAGACGGAGGGGGGGGGGGGGCACGGAACCACGCCCCCTTGTGCATCAAGGAGAGCCATAGGCGCCAAAGGGGCCCATGACTGGCCGAACGGAGGCAGTTTTTAAACGCAAAAGAGCAAAATGAACGTCTTTGGGCCTGCCGACGATGAAGAGCAGTCACAAGCAAAGGTGAAGAGCCCACGAGCAGACAAAGTTAATTCTTGGATGATTGAGAGAATGGTGATGTTCTGTTCGATGTTGGTGGTCTCTGGCCGACTTAGACACCCACATTGTCTTAGGCCCATACCGACACAGAGCCGACTGTGCGGTACCGGTGGTGCCCGCCCAACATACGACCCATATCGACTCATGGGGTCTCCGATCGGAGCATAGGACTACCATTTGAGGACCCATCCCCCTAGGCCGGGGCCACTGATTAAGACGCCGACCATCCCTTCGCGCGCTTAGACCACCCAATTGGGCTCCTGATGGTCGGACCCGGTGGGTCCTCCAGGCTCTTCGGGCCTTCTCGAACACTGTCATTGGCCGGTTCGGGGCCCCTTGCCAACACAGGGCACCCGCTAGGCGTTGTGGGCTCTGACATAGGCTAGGGCCAGGACCAATGTAAATCGCTAGCTTCGGCTTTGCTCCTGCTTGGGAAATGGGCCCGCAGGCCTACGCCGCCAAGGAGCCGAATGTGCTTTATTGGTGGTGTATGACCGACATATAGGCTGTTATTGACCCAGGGGGCCCTGATCAGCGCGTAGAGCCCTCTGGCTGGCATTAGAGTGTTCGGTCCTGCGCGCCGGGGCTCCCTGAATTCGGCCTCCGACCAACCTTTCGGACCCGTCATGCCCTCAAAGCAGGCCCTAGTCATGATCCAGAGGAATCCTTTAAGCCCTTCGGAGCCTAAGGGGGGGGGGCATGCGCCCCCTGTGCCCCCTCCCCCCTGCCGGCGCCACAGCAGACCGGACAATCATGCAGGGATCTCGTGGGCCATGGGAAAGCCCCTGCAGGCCCCATGGACACGCTTTCTGCGAACACTGGCTGGATCAACGAAAATACATTGGTGTTCCTCAGATCATTTTTGTCAATCAAGGGCATTCTCTCTACCTGGGTTGCCGCATTCATCTCTTCATACCCGTTGTGACTTTGCAAGTCAAGTAACTTGACGTTTATCGTTGGGTAACCTTGTGATCAAGTACTTGCACAAATTGGCTGTTTGCCCATCACTATAAACTGTGTTCTTTTGGCGCGGCCAGACCGGTTTCATATCCGGCGCTGGAGGGGCACGCGTTTTAGGGTTCACGTGGCTGAATAAGTCGTGTAATGATCAATTTTTAACAATATTTCTGCAAAATGGGGGACGAGGAAGTGAGAGAAAGCCTCAAGGAGGCTCTTTTGGACGCGATGGGTGGCACTTTGTCCCCTTTGGCTGACGTGCGGAAGGGTGCCGAGGAGAGGCTGAAAGCCTTGGAAGTTACGGATGGTATGTTGCATGTTTCATTCCCCCTTTCGCGGTGTTTCGTTATGTTCGGTTTTATTAGCTTGTATTGGCATCACATTCGGCGTTTTTCTGGTCTGGTGCCCTTTTTTGACCAGGTCTCTGAATATTATGACTGTTAGTTGCCTGGATAATTGAACATGAATCAAATATCAGCATGGTTTAAGAAGTTGACTTTTTAGAAACCTTGCTTGAGTTACAAATAGGATAAGTTCAGGTAGGGCTGGAATTTGAATGTAGTGTCTTGCTGATATGATGTTGAAGTGACTGGAACAAAGGTAGTGGTATGTTGTTATTTATCTTGTCACATCAGTATTTATGCATAAGTATTGTCTTAGGTTATCTGATAATTTGATGCAAACATCTTTGTAGCAAACAATTTGTAGTTCCAACCAAGATATCTTATAGCTCTTCACTTTTCAATAATTTCTGGATATATCAATGGAAATGTATGACCATTTGTTATCAGTTCTTGTGATTGCACTTGGGCAGGGGATATCACTAGTTTGAGAATGGTGCCAAGTTGCAGATTTGCTTTGGTTTATATGAGAACAAAGGCTATCTAAAAAACTCAAACCCTGATGACCACATTGCAATGTAATCCATGTTTTGGCAGCCCGGCACGTCCCATGCTCTGATGCATCTGTTACCTGTCTTGCACATGTTATAGTGTGCACTGTCTGATTCCGGTGGCTAGAAATGAAGTGCATGAAAGCTGTCTACTGCTCTCAACATTTTCATGATCCAGATGGTTACTGTCTAATTTCACTCTTCCATTCAACATGCACCACCTATTTGATGTATCTGATCTGTCTTGCTTCCGCTACATGCATTGGTGATGCGCCTATTTCATTTGTTCTTTTTTTAATCCTGTCTCCCAGGGTTTTCTGTCCTGTCATTTAGTGACCCAGTTTACAACCCCTGAATGCTGACTTCCTCTGACCAGATGTGTACATCATGATGTGTTGTATTTCCATCATCAATATATTGGTTAATTTTTTCTAACTTTGTTTCAATCTTCAAAACTCCTTTGCTTGAATCATATTGTGCAATAACTTGGCATAGCTTGAGCTTTCAACTGCTGCAAGAATTTACAGTGTTCACTTTTGGCATTGGTAAAATAAATGTATGTGCCCCAGGCCTAGAGCTAAGACAGTTAAAATGGTTATGCCCCATTGCAGCATGTATTGTCATGTGACATCTTACCCTAACTTGGCTCATTCACTGATGCTAAGTGTCTGTTGTAAACATTTAAGACTGGATGGAAGATGACTGAATTATGTACCTATCAACTTGTTGCATATAAAAAAGCATTTTATGTTTGTGGGAAACAAACACTGGCTGGTGAAAAGCAAAGGGATGTTTATACCTAAAAAAACATGTAAAACATGCTCTGCAGCCAGGGAATCAAAGCAGGTACCCTCTCCCGAAGATGGTCAAAAGCCTAGCATTGGCAAGTGCAAGTGCATCAGCAAGTTCAAATGCAGCAAGAGGCTGTATTCCATGGCAGGTTCTTTTTTAAGCAGGGTGTGTGGTGTCTTACTGTGGAAAGCTTTCCAGGCGGCTTGGAATTCCATATCATGTTTCAGTCATTTGTGACCAATGTGAGCAATGTGTGGGCAAAATGTGAGCAAATGTGAGCACAATTTGTGAGCAAAGCAAAGTAAGAATGCTAGCTTTGAGTTAGAACAAAATATGTGGATTTTTACCATGTGTAAACATATGTAGGTATGTGGTATAGAACCATTTGACCTTGGCGAGGATGAAAATCAGAGCATAATTATCATTGTCTCTGCAACAAGAGTCAGGTCTGATGTGTTTTGTTCCACCTGTGATCATAAGTTGCTTTATTGGTTTAGAAGTCAAGTATGTGAGGTTAGCATCTGCCTGACTTGCTTGGAATTTTAAGTATAGACTACAGCTGGAGTGTCATATGGCCTTTGTGATGTTATCCAAGGGCTTGCTAATGCTAGTGGCTGGCACAATCCCAGGTATTGGTTAACAGCTGACTTGATGTAGCTCTATGCTAGGGGCTTTTCCATTTTTCTCAAGCAGTTGTGATGTTACTTGTTACCTATTACCTGTTAAGGTATCCTGTACCCACTACCCAGGTACATTTTCTCATGTGTAGCAGATAATCACTGCCCTTTTATCAGATATTCTTATAGAAGGAATTGATCAAAAATTATTGTCTTTGCAATAGTGTGGTATGGCATGATCACGCAGCTAGTTGTGATGTCTGTGCTCGAGCCAAATTGATCATGCTATTTGGGATCAGATCCAAGGACTGACAGGTGGGAGTCCTTCATCCTGTCGCCTGGCCACAGGGGCAGGCAGTGGATGGTGGATGGCCGCAGTAAGGTGTATCGAGCCATCATCAACTAGATGTCCATACCATATTGCTGACACCTGCCTTATTTGAATGGTTGCCCACCTGTGAATGGGGTGTGACTGACACCTATCAAAGCTGACACCTGACATGTCTGGGCCATTGCCTGCCTGTGTGCAGAGTGTGGCCGACACCTGTCGGAGCTGACACCTCACATGCCTGAACGATTGCCTGCCTGCGTGCAGAGTACGGCCGACACCTGTCGGAGCTGACGCTGGACGTCCACTGCGCGCTGCCGATGCGCCAGCTGGCCTCTGTGATGCTGCGCCAGTACGTGGACACGCACTGGACGCCAGCCAGCGACAAGTTCCAGCCGCCCGAGCCCAGCGAACAAACCAAAACGTTCATCCGGCAGGTGAGCAACGCGTCTCGGCGCGCGCTCTTCGGCAGCTTCACGCGCACGCGCGTTGCCGCCAGGGAATATGAGTGATGGACTCCAGTAAAAGAAAAAAACTAGCTCTGGTGTGTAATTTGATCATCTTGTTTGCAAAACTTTGCGTGATGGCCCCTGGATCTTGGGTGATTCCAACCAGGGTTGATGTACTTGCGATGTCTCCGTTTGTTGTCCGGCCTTTTGTGATTTGGTTGGCGTTCCGCTGGATTCCGGACCCAGGCCAGTGCTTGATTTGTCTTGAAATCGGTGTTGATTCCGTTTTCAAGCAAATTTTGTTACATCAGGATGCGATGATGCCTTTTATGGTTTACATGGGTCAGAGTCGAAGTTGCGCCAAAGTTGTGAGCTAGAATCAGTAATGGTTCGACTGAAATGGAAATGTTACAACCAGGCGAAATCAATCTTTGGCAGCCTTCAGGCGTGAATCAAAAAGTTAGCCTAGATTTTATGCTGTCCTGTGGCCTAATTTTTCTCCTACACAAGCTGTAACGAAGTCCATCAAGTTCCTCGTCACCGAAACTGCTACTACTTGGGCCGATATCGGAATCGAAGTCCACTCGAAACATAGATGTGGCGTCTGAAGTTATTCGGAATGATCCCTTCCACGACGGGTCGGGAGCCGGAACCGACTCAATAATATATCCGTATGAAATGCCCTGAGACCCTGTTCTTTTTCAGCCATGTACATATGACTATGACATGGCATCCGAGCTGATCATAAGCACAACTTGAAACGAGTGTTGACAACATAACCATGTGTGCCTGTTGGATAAGCTCCAACATTGTTTAATCAGCGCCTCCCGCTGCGTTCAAGGTCGATAACTGTCAGCATGACCTTTAACTCATGGTGTTGACTACACAAGAGCCGAATTAAGCCGAGCTTTGCTGACACAGGGCACGACACCGCATGTGACGACGTCCCGAGGTGACCCGGTCGTGCACGGCTGCTCTTTCTCACATCTGGTGCTCAATGCCCGGACCCGGCGGTACCCTCGCCGACCACTGATCGCCGCGTCGCCTGACAGCATAGCTGCAACCCTCACCACCTCACCTCACCGCCTCGCCCGGCAGGTGCTGCCGCTGGGCCTGAAGGAGTCCATCAGCAAGGTGCGCGCCTCGGTGGCGTACGCGCTCTCTTCGATCGCGCACTGGGACTGGCCCGAGCAGTGGCCCGAGCTGTTCGACATCCTGATGGCGTGCCTCAAGAGCGGCGACGAGCACGCCGTGCATGGCGCCATGCGCGTGCTGACCGAGTTCTCGCGCGACCTGACCGACGCGCACGTCTCCCAGGTGGCACCCGTCCTCCTGGCCGAGTGCTACCGTATCTTCGTCGAGTCGGACGTACGTGCTGGGCGCCGGCGGCGAGTGCGTTCGGGGACGGGGGCCCGACTGTGCGCTGGGCTGGTGTCGCTGGTCTGGTCAGGCCTGCTCACCAGGAGGGCTGGTTATGAGCCTGGCTCGTCGTCAGTATGTGCTGTGGAAAGCAGGCTGAGCATATCTGGCCCCCTATTCTGTCTTGCGCTTGCTTTCGCGATGTCCTGGCATTGTCCGCTGTCTATGGTTTGAGGTCGCCGGATCGTATCGGTGGCGATGCTCCCGACCGAGCCGGTGCCCCCTCCCCTGGCGCCGGCGCCCCCAGCGCCGCTCTCACGCGCCCCTCCACCGGCAGCGCTACTCGATCCGGACCCGCAGCCGCGCCGTGGAGATCTTCCACACGTGCGCGGCGTTGATCGCCACCGTGGCCGAGTACGACCGCAACCTGGCCAAGAGCCTGCTGGTGCCCGTGCTGCCCAAGTTCACCGAGGCGCTGGTCAAGAGCCTCAGCGTGCCGTACGGCTGCTCCTCGGACTCAGGCCTCAAGATGGAGGTCCTGAAAAGTGAGTCGGCAGGGAGATGTGGCGGCAGGTGACGTTCTGTGTCGCCGGTGGTCGGTGGCTGGCGTGAGCCGCCAAACTCAGCGCTGTTTCGTTGCTAGCTTCGTGTCACCTCGTGACGCTTCTAGTGACGCTTCAGTGGGTTTCGTGCGGTTCATTTGCAATGGCGTTGCAAGCTATGCACCGGTCGGATGTGAACACCGTGCCGGCCGGGGCACACGATCTCTCCCACCTCGGTTGCGACTGATCGTCGCGCCTGCCGCAGCCATCACGATGCTGGTGAAGAACATGCCGAAGCATACGGTGCAGTGGATGGGCGAGATCCTGGCGCCGGTGTGGAGCACGCTCACCTCTAGCGCCGTGCTCTACGTCCGCTCACACATCAACGACCTGGAGGAGCACAACGACCCGACCGACTCGGACGGTACGCCGGCGGCCTGGACCGCTCTCGGCGCGGGCGTGGTCCCGCGCGGCCGCTGGATGGGGGCGGGACCAGGTCAAACGGGCGTCTTTGTGGCCGGTGTCCGATCTTAGATCCAACTGTTGGTTCTGTAAGGATACTTGTTGATTATTTCGGGTTTGTGTTACCTTGGCCTTCTTTTATGTTTTGGAACCGGAATAAGATAAGTTTGCCCATTCAGCTGAAACGCAATTGTTATTTCAGCCACCTGTTCTGGCTGTTTGTGTCATCAGTTTTGCGTGAAACACCATCTCTTTTCAGCCCTGTTTTCCGTTTACAGGCCAGGTGTTGTCGTTTGAGAATTTGGTGTACAGTATTTTCGACTTCGTCACCGTGCTGGTGGAGACGCCCAAGTTCCGGAGCTCGGTGAAGCAGGGCCTGGATGACCTCGTGTACTACATCATCGTCTATGGCCAGATCACAGAGGAACAGGTGCGCCTGGTGTGCTTATTGGGGTTGTGAGTCGAAATGGTTCAAGGAGAAATACAGGCACATCGGACAGGAGAAAAGCAAAAAATGTGTGCCTGATTGTATGAGTACAAAAAAGGTGGTCAACGCCTAGTGAATGGCTGGTGGCCGCTGTGCTAATGGTGTCCGTTGCACCGATGCTTCAGATTGCCACGTGGTCACACGACCCCAACCAGTTCGTAGAAGACGAGGACGAGGAGACGTTCAGCTACTCGGTGCGGGTCTCCGCCCGGGACCTGCTTGTGGTAAGCCGCCGGCACGTGTGCACGCCTTCTACAGGTCATAGGATATCGCTTCGAGCTATTGGCAGTCTGTGTCAGCCAATATGGGATACAGTAAAGGAACTTGGTCTTCTTTTCCAGTTGGCATACACGTGCGTGACGTTTGTATGGGTGTCCTTGCGCTTCCGATTACGCCTCGCCCGCGTTCGTGTGTTATGGCCAACGCTTCGCCGAAGCGGTGCGGCGGCAATCCGTGTTTGGCGTGCGTCGACGCAGATGGCTCGCCGCCGTCGTTCACGGCCGCGGGCGGGAGAGCTCCTGCCCGACGCTGCCCGACGCGGGCCGTGCGGCGGGCCGCTCCCCGCCACCCCGTGTCGACCCCAGCTGCCCGCCCGGGCTCGGTGTCCGAGCAGCGTACCCGAGGTCCGGCCCCGCCTCGGCCGCGGCGCCACCCAACCGTCCGCTCCCGCCCCGCAGAGCCTGTGCCGCGAGTTCGAGGACGAGTCGATCCGGGCCGTCTGCACTGCCATCTCGCGGCACATGCAGGAGGCTGCGCTCTCCCGCCAGCAGGGTCACCCGTACTGGTGGAAGATCCACGAGTCCTGCATGCAGGCCATTATCGTCTGCAGCGCTCAGGTAACCGTCGTCATGAGACGGCAGTCGAGGGTCCGGGACGCGTTACATTGAGCTCCCCAGCTGGTGGCAGTGAAGAGACTTGGGGCGCCTCGGCCGGTGACCGTAGAGAGATTTGGGGCGCCTCAGCCGGTGACCTTGGAGAGACTTGAGGCGCCTCAGCCGGTGACCGTGGAGGGACTTGGGGCGCCTCAGCCGGTGATCGTGGGGAGACTTGGGGCGGCTCAGCCGGTGACCGTGGCGAAACTTGGGGCGGCTCGGTTTCATCGCTGTTGCGACGAGATGCTTTCGCGCCTTCCATGCAGGCTGTGCATGCGGCCTGGCAAGGGTGACGCTGAGTCTGCCCACTGGCGTGGCGTTCGAGTATGGCCTGACAGATGGCGGCTGCTGAGGACGGCGCGCTGGAGTGGGGGTGCTGAGAGTGGCGCACTGAGGTGGGGGTGCTGAGAGCGGCGCACTGAGGTGGGGTTGCTGGGAGGGGCGTGCTGAGGTGGGGGTGCTGGGAGCGGCGCGCTGGGTGGGGTGCTGGGAGCGGCGCGCTGGGCTGGGGTGCTGGGAGCGGCGCGCTGGGGTGGGGGTGCTGGGAGCGGCGCGCTGCGGCGGGGTGCTGAGAGCGGCGCGCTGGGGTGGGGGCCGGCGGTGTCTGGCCGATGAACGGCTGACTGGGTTGTCTGCCGACTAGCCGGGCTGTTTTGTCGACAGCTCCTGAGCCAGCTCTCCGAGAGCAAGATCCAGTTCGACCTGATGGGCTTCCTGGAGAACGTTGTGGTTGCCGACCTGCGAGTGGATGGTACGTCGTACTGGATAACGATATGTGACACTTAAGTGGTGTTCAACCGTAGCTTTGAGCCGAAGTCTACCTTTCCTTTCCTTTCTGATTTCATATGTGTCTTCTCCGTTATGTGTCGTGATGCTCAGAACTACTTCAATAATGGTAATGGTGATAGCGCATGGAATGCATGCCATAGCATAATCACGTTCTTAAATTGCGTCGAAATTGTCGCCAGCTTGTCTCCACTTCATGAACAGGCCAAGTGAGTCCGTGGTTAAGCTTACTGTGTTAATGCTCTGTACATGGTCGTGCCACAGTGTTCCAAAATTCGTCCAGCTGGGCGCCAAAGATGGGGAAAATAGATTCATGCTGCCAGACTTCTGGCCCATCGTTCACTTACGCCTCTATGACGTATTGGTGGCTGTTGATGGTCGTCGTTTGGCCTCAAACTTGATATTTTGACCCTTCCGCCCGGTTTGTTAACCCGCTGTCCGGCTCGTTGCCAGTCGACTCATTCTGAGCGAGGGGAGGAACAATGGCCAGTGAACCCCGGGTTGGGGATGCAATGGCATGACGAAGGGATGGACGTCCTTGCCACCTACTGGGGAGAATATTGCCATACTGTCGTGCCAAGCTCTTGGAAAAACTAAACAGTTGATTGAAAAGAAGGCCAGGTCGATGACGATTCGGTATGATCGTCTGCTGTATCGTGCTTGACTCGCGTGCGTCACGTACACGACCTGCCCATCCGACCGTGCCTGTCCGTGACGCGCCGTCGCCCCGCGGCAGGTGCCTCCCCGTTCCTGCTGGGACAGTGTCTGGTGACAGCCAGCCGGTTCGGCGCTGTCATGAACGTGACGCAGACGCAGTCGTTCCTGCAGGCCACCGTCACCGGTCTGCTCAACAGTCAGCCGCCCGTGGTGCGCACCTCGGCGCTCAGGTCAGCGGCCGGGACGGCACGGGACCGGGATCGGGCACGGGCACGGGGCGGGACCGGGATCGGGATCGGGACCGGGACGGGCACGGGCACGGGCACGGGCACGGGGCGGGACCGGGTACGGGGCCGGGCACAGGTACGGGACCGGGGCCGGGACGGGCACGGGGCGGGACGGGGTACGGGACCGGGACCGGGACCGGGACCGGGACCGGGACATGGACCGGGACGGGGACGGGACGGCCGAGCGTCGGCCGGCGTCCAGGCTCCTGTCGTCAGATAATTGGCCCTCGAGGATGATAATGTGTACACCCCTAATAATTGTGGGTGAAAAGTTGTTGACTCGCGCATCCACGGAAAGGTGCAACTACTTTGTTTTCGTCTGACGTCCGTGCATGGTTCATGGCGGTCTAATGAGCAAATATAATTCCCGAAAATGTTCCTTTGCGTCACGTCTATTGTTTAAAGGTCCCTGCGTGCAGTGTTGCGGACTCCATCTGGCTGTCGTGCTGGGGCGGCTGGAATGCGAGGCGGCAGCAGGAGGGAGTCTAGTCCGGGCCTGGGCGGTGTGTCGCCGTCCCGTCGGCCGCCGCCTGACCTGACCTGACCTTGGCCGCGCCGCAGGGCCATCATCGGCTTCTGCGAGGTGGTGAAGGAGAAAGCGGGCGGTGCCGAGGTACTGCGCCCCTTCCTCGGCCCCATCGTCGACAATCTCATCACGTTCATCGCCCAGTACCACGGCGGCGAGGTGCTGGCGCTCATGCTGGAGGCCATGTGCAGCGTAGTCAGCGTGAGTGTCCGCGCCCCGGCCTCCGCCAGCTGCGGGGCTGGGGAGGCCCCGGCTTGGCCCCGGCTCGGCCCGGCCGCCGCTCGGGCTCTGGCGGACAGGCACGGCTGTGGCGTCATGCCGTAATGGATCCGATGAAGTCCTCCAATATCCCAGAATGCGTGGATCACACCGTGGTTAGGCCTACGGGCGCGTCCTTTGAGAGGAATGTGCGAGCTGTGAACGCAGTGTACAACTTCATTGTTTCGGTTTTAAGCCAATTCATAAGGCTGCAAACGACGGTTTTTCGGTAAGACGTGTATTCAAATGCGCTGTCTCCGTCACGGTTGTCCATATTGGCGTGCTTCAGTCGCCGTCCGGGGGGGGGGGGGGGGAGGGGGGAATGTGTGAGGTGAGTGTTGCGCATGATCAGCCTCCGGGCGTTTCAGGTGGACAAGACGTTCACGGCCACGTATGAGACCAAGATCACACCGCTGGCTATAGCCGTGTTCCTCAAATACAACAAAGGTGGGTGTTCCACGTTTGTCGTACTGCGCACCCACCCCAGCTCCCACCCCCTATCTCCTAGCCCATCCCCGACACCATCTTCCACCCCCTTCCAGTCAGCCAACCGCCTGTCTCGTAGTTTGGTGCACGCGCGTTGTGCTGTATTGTTTTGGGCCTGAGGTTGGTGCCGGGTCAAACGCCGAGGGCACTGTTAACCTGACCTGACCTGACCTGACCTGACAGGCAGTGGTCCGCCTGACCGGCGCTCGCCCTCGGTTGCAGATCCGGTGATGGTGTCGCTCTCCCAGGACATTTTCCGCGAGCTGTCGAAGAACGAGCAGTGTCTGCAGGCGTTACAGAGTCGTCTGGTACCCACGCTGCTCAGCATCCTGAACCAGGACCCCCAGAAGCTGCCCGGCGGTGAGAGGCGCGCGCGGACTGGGGCGTGCGATGCCGAAGACGTGGGGACTTTATTACTGTCGGGAATGATGTCCCGTTGTTCGGTGGGGGAAGCACGCGGCTTGGACCGGCTGTCGTACTGTTCTGCCAGCAGAGCGTGCCTGCCAGACACTGTGGTCTGCTGCGCACTGACGGCCCGCTCCGGTGCGTGCAGGTCTGCAGGCGGTGTCCCTGGACGTGCTGCAGACCCTGATCCGCTCCTCGACGCCGCCGCTCAGCGAGCTCCTCATCAGCGAGGCGTTTCCGGTGGCTGTGCGCTGCGTCATGCACACAGACGACAACTCCACCATGCAGGTGCGGTTACGTGGACAGTGCGGCAAGCCGCAGGTCATCACCCGTGAAGTGATGTTTGTCCGTCGCTTGCTGCCTGTGCTTATGCCAGACGGATGTTCGTCACGCTCTGTCTTAGAGTTGCTACGCTGCTGTCCTTAAACAGTGGACTTGACTGTCCATGTATGTGCACTTTTTTGTAAGGTTGATGTTTGTGTTTACGAATGCGCGCACCTTTCGTCGGGTTCGGGCAGATGCGGTTGTGTTCCACTAGTGGACCTCCAGTGTCTGCCAACGCTCGTGCGAGGCTATCGCCGACTGCTGGTCAAACTAGTCGGTCGCCACGTGCCCTGCCATGTAAGCCGAGCACGTGTGCGGCCGGCAGAGGCGGTCCCCAGCCCGCCGTCTGGCCTGGTCTGTGCACCCTGTCCAGCCGTCTGGCGGCGGTCTGTGTGACCGGGCGGCCGTGTCCAGCCGTCTGGCGGCGGTCTGTGTGACCGGGCGGCCGTGTCCAGCCGTCTGGCGGGGGTCTGTGGGACCGGGCGGGCGTGTCCAGCCGTCTGGTGGCGGTCTGTGTGACCGGGCGGCCGTGTCCAGCCGTCTGGCGGCGATCTGTGTGACCGGGCGGCCGTGTCCAGCCGTCTGGCGGCGATCTGTGTGACCGGGCGGCCGTGTCCCGGCAGTCGGGCGGCGAGTGCCTGCGGGCGTACGTGTCGGTGGCCACAGAACAGGTGTGCGCCTACCGCGACAGCCAGGCGCGCTCCGGCCTCTGGTACCTGATCCAGGTGTGCACCCAGCTGCTCTCGCCCACCGCCTCCGAGTTCTCGGCCGCCTTCGTGGGCAGGTGAGCCGCGGTCTGGCGGTCCGACCGGCTCTCCCCCGGTGTACGGCCGCGGCCCGGCCGGCCGGCCCCTCGCCCAGTGTGCGGCGGCGATCCGGCCGGCTCTCCCCCGGTGTGCAGCCGCCGCCCGGCCGGCCGGCCCCTCGCCCAGTGTGCGGCGGCGGTCCGGCCGGCTCTCCCCCGGTGTGCAGCCGCCGCCCGGCCGGCCGGCCCCTCGCCCAGTGTGCGGCGGCGGTCCGGCCGGCTCTCCCCCGGTGTGCGGCCGCGGCCCGGCCGGCCGGACCCCCGCCCAGTGTGCGGTGGCGGTCCGGCCGGCTCTCCCCCGGTGTGCGGCTGCGGTCGTGGTTAGGGAGATGTCGAGGAGAGGCACAACGTAGCTGAATAATTTTGATAGTAGTGCAACAAATAACACAGCGTCACTGGCCTTTGGTATAGTTTTTGTTTCATGGGCTTCAGACGCCGTCGCTGCGTTCGGGCAGCCCAGTTATTTGTCGCCGCTGATTTCCTGAAGGAAATCCGCTGTGCGTGTGTCGACTGCTCTGTGCAGAGGACTGGGGTTATGGAACGTCTCAAAAATTTTCGTATAAATAGGCATCCAATGCCTGGGTAGTTCTCCGGCCATCCCATGGTCGATGTTTTCGGTTCGATACGGCCTTAGCCTCCTTTGATGCCATGCAGACGGACCTTGCAAGCCAGTCAACCGCGATGTGTTCCGCGTCGAGCCCGTGTTGCCGCGCGGAGAACGTGTGTTGCCTCGTGTCTGTACTGGAGCCTGGCTGTGCCGGCGGCTGCGTCTGCATCTGCCGGTGCCGTGACGCCGCCGGCCGCCGTCTGCAGACTGCTGATGGTGATCGTCAGCCGGCTGGGCGACAACCTCGGCAACGAGCTGGAGACGCTGCTGCGCGCCACGCTCAGCAAGATGGTCAGCTCGCAGACCACCATCGTCATACAGGTGACGGCCGCGCCCCCCGGCGGAGCGGCTGCCTCGGGCCCGCACTCGCTAACGCCCGGGTCCGCTGACGTCCGGGCCCGCTGACGTCCGGGCCCGCTGACGTCCGGGCCTGCTGACGTCCGGGCCCGCTGACCTCCGGGCCCGCTGATGCCCCGGCCCGCTGATGCCCCGGGCCCGGCGGAGCGGCGGCCTCGGGTCCGCACCCGCTGATGCCCGGGTCCGCTGATGCCTCAGGCCCGGCGGAGCGGCGGCCTCGGGCCCGCGCCCGGTGACGTCCGGGCCCGCTGACGTCCGGGCCCGCTGACGCCCGCGCCCGCTGCCGCCCGGGCGCCGTACTTGCCGTCAGGTGCAGACGTCTGCAGGCGGGGAGGCTGCGAGGCTCCATCCGGGCCACGACACGAGTGGAACGGGAAACCACCTATTAGGGCATCACTGATGAAGTGAAGCTCTGTCTACGAGGCCATGATAGGTGGCGTGTGCTGACCCCCAACCCACACTGTACGCACGTGTCGGTCTAAACATTGCCTCAGGCCGTCGCCCCTCAGAGACCGACTTCCGTAGGGGGGAGCGCGACGGGAGCGGACACGTGCTTTACACGGTCATGCGACCTCACTGACTAGCGTTCGGGAGACTGCGACTGACCAACCCTCCCCGCCTCGCTCGGTCCGCAGAGCCTGATCATGGTGTACGCGCACCTGGTAAACCTGCAGCTGGACGCGGTGCTGTCGTTCCTGTCGTCAGTGCCGGGCCCCACCGGCCAGTCGGCGCTGCACTTCCTGCTCACCGAGTGGTGCTCGCGGCAGCACCTCTTCTACGGCAGCTATGACGTCAAAGTCAGGTCAGCTGGCGGCGGTGTTTGGCGCCAGGGCGATGACGCCGACCTCGCATGGCTGTTAATGTGTGTGTGTGTGTGTGTGTGTGCGTGTGCGTGTGCGTGTGCGTGTGCGTGTGCGTGCGTGCGTGCGTGCGTGTGTGGATCCTTGCAAATGCATGCTCACCTCTGGCCCGTGTTGAGCGTCGTCAGTGGGGAATGTGGAACGATTGTTGCCTTTGCGGTCGCGCCAGCGTTTGTCGAAGCTGGCGCGGTTTTTACGTTGCTGGTGGAAGTGTTCGCTCCGCTAGCTTGCTGCCACCAGTTTTCAGAAGCATCCTTTACTAGTGTCCGTGATCGAATAGCCGATCATGTGTGATCTAAAGGCGACGCTCGAGCGTCTCGCCACTTCCGTGGATGATGGCGGGAATGTATGACTATCTGCCGTTTACATGCGTTGCCCGGCGGTGTCTGGTCCGGCTGCCGTCGGCGTCAAAGCTTCCTTAACATGGTTGTCCGGACGCGCCGGCGGCTGACGTCGCTGACCCGTGTGCCAACAGCGTGATGGCGATGTGTAAGCTGCTGCAGCACGGCGTCAACACGCACGACTCGCGTCTGAACGAGATCACCGTCAGAGGCGACGAGGTAAGGCCGAGCCGGGCGGGCGCCGCCGGACCGGGCGGCGGGCAGCGCTGGCAGGGCTGCCGCGTCTGACGGAAGGAGCTGAAGCCCACTGTGGCGCTGTGTCGTTTGTGACCGCGGGCCGGGCGATTGGGTGAACGACTGTAGCGAAATCCTTTGTGGATTAGTATTACATGAGCGTTGTGTTCGTGTGAACTAAGCTTGTGGCTGGACAGTTTTAGCGATATCTTTCCGTGAAGCGGTCACGAATACTCTGGCAAATGCGCGTCTAATTAGCGGCGTTCCTTTACGCCCCGTCGTGGTTGGTGGCCCCTCGCCATTTGGTAGCCGCGCATCAATGGACGAGGCCTGGTGGTGCTGGTGCTGAGTTACTGCGCGCTCGACACGCGGTCGCGGCGCTGACGGCGACCGGTGTGTCAGGTGATCAGCTCGGGCCCTGGGATGCGCACGCGGTCGCAGCGGGCTCGCGAGCCCGAACAGTGGACCTCCATACCGGTGCTAGTCAAGATATTCAAGCTGCTCATCAACGAGCTGTCGTCGGCGATCGAGCGGGATGCCGGCAGTGAGGTGAGAGCGGTCTCAGTGGGGTGAGAGCGGTCTCCATGAGGTGAGCGCGGTCTCACTGGGGTGGGCCCCAGGTGGCGCCGAGCGGTCTCCGGCGTTACGGAGCCGCCTGCCCTTCAATCCCACGGTACAGCGGCGGGGCGTATGCGGGGGAGGGAAGACCTCCAGTGGTGAGGAGAGTCAGGTTCCTGGCAGTGGCCCGCTCTCCTCTGACCCCAGCGGCTGCCTGGCTCGCCAGCTGACCTGACCCGATCTCAGCTTTGGCCGACCACTGACTGTTCTGTGATTCTTGACCGGTCTCGAGGAAGGGGAGGGGGGGCATGCGACTGTCAAACGGCTCTACCTCCCCCTTCGACTGAATAACATGGCACATTGGGCGGGAGCCCGCAGATATTGTGCTCGCTGCAGTGCTCTGCACATGGTAGCGCTGTGGCAGGCCGGTGTCGGATGCTGTGTTGTCTGGACAGCGGGGTGGTCTGTGGACAACACGGTTGCTGTCGGGTGGTACTGTGTAGCTGTGACTGGGGGCTGCGGCCGCCGGCTGACGTGATCGTGACCGTGACCACAGTCCGACCCCGATGAGGAGTACGAGGACGAGGCGGAAGAGGACCAGGAGAAGATCGACCTGCCCGAGGGAGTGCCACTGTCCCAGGTGCTCTCAAATGACTTTCATGGTTAGTGGCTTTGGTCGCACACTGGCCTTTGCTTGTGATTAAGGTGCTTACATATGCCGTATTGGAGTGCTTAGAGCATCAGACCATGTACTACGTTTGCTCATTGTATGATTTTTTATCATTGGTTGATACCCGTTTGTCTCAGCTTATTGAACGATGTCGGTTGTGTTTGGCTACATTTGCTGTTAAAAGACCAAGGCGTGACGTCCATACCCGGTGACGCCCTGTTGCATCCGCGCTGTTACGCAGCGCACGTCTTGACGCGTGTTACCGATCGCTGATCGCTGAAGTACCACGTCTACGACGACACAAAACCGCGTGGCCACACTCCGTTGTTTGTCGCCAGGCTACGACTTCGACACGGTCGACGACGAGGAGGACGCCGACGCGCTGGCCGACCCCGTGTACCACGTGGACCTGAAGCAGTACCTGTCCGAGTACCTGGCGTCGTTCTGCCAGCAACCGTGCATCGCGCTGTTCGCACCGCACCTGCAGACGGCCGAGCGGCAGGTGCTCTCCCAGATCGGCGTGCGCGCCGTCTGAGGTTATGGACGACTAGTGTCGTGCGAACGCGGCACCGGCGATGCCGCGAAGCCGCCGGGGCTGCCGCGCACCCGACCGCGCCGCGTTATGGGCGGCTACTGTGGTGCGAGCTTTCCGCGGCGTCGGCTGGGCGGAGGGCGCGGGCCGGACGGCGGCGGGCAGCGCAGCTGTGGGGGCTGCCGTGGCGCGGCCTGGCGGTCGCGGAGTGAACTATGCAGGTGGAGCTCGGTGCAGCGTTGCCTTCCGACCAGCGCCACTGCCAGGCGAGGCGGCCTTCGGACGGCGTGCGAGTCGCGGCGGGCCCGGGTACGCGGGAGTCGGCCGTGCCTTGCCGCAGGCGCCATGTTGACCGGTACCGTGATCACATCGCGCATGATGGGATGCTATATTTTTAATATGGCGCTTGTATCGACGTTTTTACCGGGTTAGACGCTGTTGTAGTGGACGTGCGCCCAGTCGCCTGTTTCGGCCGGAGGCCGTTGTTTTCTGGTGCGCTGGTGTGCCTCCGGTGCCCGAGACATGTGCGATGGCTCACACGTGCAGTCGGCCCGGCCACGTGTGCTCGCGCGGAATGCCCGGGCCTTCGCCTGGGTTCGCCGACTGAAGCCTGTTATCGTTTGCGATCGCTGCCGCCCTCCCCGCGACGAATGGGAACGGGCCGCCACGCGCCAGCAGCGTAGCAGTGCTAGCATGTGTGGGTCCACCTCGGTGCACCCCGTCCGCCGTCGAACACCGGTTGCGTGTGTTGGTGTTCGTGGTGCGTGCTCTTGACCTTTGTAGTCCGGGAAGTATGTATTTATTTTCACCCACATTCACTTTCAAATATATAGTTGATCCTGGATTAATGTTGCGCGATGGTTGTTTACTGCCGTAGGCAAGGTCTCCGAGGTGTCAGACAGCCGTCCGGAGGTGACCCGTCTGTCAGCCGTCCGGAGGCAACCCGCCTGTCAGCCGTAACGAGTCTGGGGAGAGCACACCGTCCGGACGGCTATCTGACTGTCAGACGACGCTCGTGATCAAATACGCCATTTAATGCATGACGGAAGTGCAAGGGGACTTGTGCAGGCGCTTGGTTCAGCTTCATCGCGCTCCGTGTCAGCCCGTCGCGAGCAGGGGAACGGCTCGAGCTTGGTGCCCGTCGCCACCACCAGGATCGCACACTTCTGATCTCGGCGCCGCCAGGATCGCGCACCCTCCTGATCCCGGCAGGACCAGGATTGTACACCCTCCTGATCCCGATACCACCGGGATCACGCACACCCTGATCCCGACACCACCAGGATTGTACACCCTCCTGATCCCGATACCACTAGGATTGTACACGTTCCTCATCCCGATACCACCAGGATTGTACATCTTCCTCATCCCGATTCCACCAGGATTGCACACCCCCCTGATTCCGATACCACTAGGATTGTACACCTTCCTCATCCCGACACCACCAGGATTGTACACCCTCCTGATCCCAACACCACCAGGATTGTACACCCTCCTGGTCCCGACACCACCAGGATTGTACACCCTCCTGATCCCGACACCACCAGGATTGTACACCCTCCTGATCCCGACAGCACCAGGATTGTACACCCTCCTGATCCCGATACCACCGCTCTCGCACACCCTCTTGCCACCGGCACCACGGCCACAGGCCATGGGATGTCTCGTCTGGGTCCATCCTCGCGATCTCGGGCAGGTCCGCTGTCGCCGCGCTCCTACAGTCCGGGCCCTGTGGAGAAGACTGGGCAGGTCGACGGAGGAGCCGCTGCTCGTCACTGAGTTTAGCTGCCCGGCCATGTCCTTGCGCTTTTGGGCAGGGATTTGCGGATGGTCGACGCTCGCGGGGAGGGGGGGGGGGGGGTCTCGTTTGATTGGTGATGATTCTGTAGGGAATGGTCGTTGTGATGTTAGCCATGTGTTGCAACAGCACGATATGCGAGCGGGTTTTCTTAATCACAAGGGAAGGTTCGGGTCCCTCGTGCATTCGTCGCTATCGGGGTGTTGATGCCTTTTGCCAGGACAATTAGCAATCGCGTCTCGTTTCGAGCCACCAAAGTAGGAAAATACAGGATAAGTGTGCGTAATTAACCATGAGAGTCTCGCATAGAGGTGCACGAACTGTTGCTTAACATGCGTATATGTGTATATATATTTTTTTTTATTTATTTATTTATATTGCGTTGCGTGGTCACATCAAACAAGGCAGTGGTCCTTCCAGACAAACGCTACGCACAAAAACGCGTAACGGAGCTCGATGGTCCTTCTTCCGTCCTCTCATTACCATAGTGGGAAGGTGAACTCCTCCCCGCGGTCCAGATTCGCCGGCAGTTTCCGGCGGCGCGGTGACGGCGAGTCGTTAGCCTGATGAGCGGGTCGGCAGCCGGCGGGCGCGGGGGGGAGGAGACGCGACCTCGCTCCGGGGCACGGACGAGGGCGGAACACGGGCGACCGCGGCGCGCGGCCGCTCCGGGCATAATGATGGCTCGTGAAGGACTGCGCCGCTTTGTGGGTCACGACCTCCCGAGCGGGGGTCCGTGCGGCCCAGCGCGGCAGGCGAGCGGGAGTGGAGGAGGATCGAGCCGCTGGGCGGCGCTCGAGATGTATGGCAAGTGGGCGGCGGCGACGGATGGCGGCACGTGACGACGGCGGCGGTCTCCGTCGAGCGCTGGTGTTCGGCATGCTGGCTGCAACAGCTGACGGTGGCGCGCTGGAGAGCCTCAGCATGGGTGCAGTCGGGTCGGGTCAGCGGGAGGTCATAACTGGCCGATGCGACTGGCCTCGAGCACCGGGAACGAGGCGTGTCTGCCGGAGCTGGCGCTGCGAGTGGCCGCCAGGCGTACGTCTCCGCGCCGGGCGGGGGCCGCCGCTCGGCGGGCGGCGCCGCAGCCACGTCAGCATGCTGCGCTTGGCCGCAGTTTGCGTCAAGTTTAAGGGTCGCTTTAGAGGGCGGTCGTGCTGCGTTGCGAACGCACGCCGCAGGTGGAGAATCGTTGCCCAGCGAATGCAGTGAAATTTTCCAGTTAATCATGTTGCAGCGCCATGAAGTACCGTCCAGCTCTGAATGCATGCAGTGCGGGCTTGGCCCCACGTGACTGCGCAGATATAAGCCAATTGGCAAGCCCAGTCAAAGAGACGGCGCTAACATAACGTAAGTACCAGCAGATGGTTAGCAAGCTGTGGTGGTGAGCTGGGAGCATGAACCAACAGATTTCCCCGACTCCTCGCGATTAGCTGATTGCGAATCAACGACCGCGAAAGCCAACCGCTGTTTAAAACTGGAGTTTTTCTGTGATCAAAAACTGTTTGGCCTTCTTGGCTGAAGCATAATAGCTTTCCTGATCCGTAGGCACAGACAATCAAGCGTGAAACATCAATTAGCAATTAATACCCTGCCAATCTGCAGCAGATAATGCACCCTGTTTGCATCATGCTCACACATGATATCACTTCATCTGCAAATGAGACATGCCAACTTCTGATGCTCGCCGTGATGTGTGCAGAAGATAAGCGCATCGAGGCTTCACATCGCCTTACCCGTGGGCTGAAAGGGGCGCGCACAGCCCGACCCAGTTCACGGTTACTTCTAATTCATGACGCTGTTTACAAATGAATACTTCTGACCGTCGATGAGCCACGGCCGTCCTTTGTGGTCGGCTCTTGACGGGGCGGGCGTGAAGCCAGGCCCCGGTGCTTGAGACGCCTTTTGTTTCTGGCGGCGTCGCTCCCGGTCGGGGATGGGCTTTTTATGGATATTTAGGTGACCTGTCGAAGCTGGGCCGGCGTGATTCACGCTAATGGCCGCCGGGGTTTGCCGCTGACGGTGCTCGAGACGGGCTCGGTCACGGGCACCACGTGACCCTGTGGCCCCCGCGGCACCGTCGCCACCGCAGCAAGGGCGCCCGCTGCGGCAGACTGTCGGACGCCGCGCGGCGACCGGGCTAGCCGGCGTTCACGGCTGGCCGGACTCTGTTGTGTATGCGCGATGTGAAGCCGACTACACCCAGCTTGTCTCACGCCGGTGCCACAAGTCCGGGGATGCTTTGCGGCAAAAATCTGGAAGTTAGAAGGCGCGAGACGTGTTTCACTGGCGGTGGATTGGTTAACGATTTCTCGGCCAGCACTGACTACCGCGTCAAGGCAATGCGAAATGCAGCCGTCAAAGTTTGCATTTGGAAAACCAAGTTCCCAACAAAGCAAACCATAGTCAGCTAGCCCAGCCTTGACACAAGATACCGATATGCAAGACACCCTTTAGATACGTATGGCCTTTCTGCGAGTGATGCGCCGCCGGCCAGTGGCTGCGCCCCTCGGGCGTGTTCAGCTGAGGGCGCTGGCTCGGCAGCTGCCGCGCGGGCCGTCGCTGGCCGCCGGTGGCCGCCGGTGACCCTGGCTCTGTCGTCACACCTGTCGCGGGCCGGTGGCCGGCACCGATGACACCGGAACGAATGGCCGGGCTCGGCGGCGCCCAGCCGTGATCTAAATAGGCCTTTGTGGTATGGCACGGTCATGAAATAGACACCAGCGTTCTACGCGCGTGCTTCTTAGCGTTGGACCGTGGACCCGCTGCTGATGGGATGCAGCCGCATCCATCCCCAACTCGCAAGAGAAGAATGCGTCGCGGTGATGGCCCGCTGACTTTGACACGACTTCTCACGGCGTCGAAGGCTCATGCGTCACAAGGTCATGTCTGCGAGCCTCTCAAAATTGATTATTGTCTGCCATCACGATCTTACTATGTTTCGTGAAGCCATGCCCTTTAGTGCCGTCCAGCACGTCACTGCATGACGGTGTTCAGAACATGCTGTCAGGGCTCAGCCTTCACCCAAGCCGCTGAGCAAAGCTAAATCAATGGCGCGTCTGGTGTTATGGCGTGCATTCATCTTTACCCGCCTACAATAGCCGAGGCTTGTGTGCGGTAAACTGGCGGTAACTGCGCTTCTATGTCTGCAATGGGCGCATGTGGGCTGACAATCAATTATCTATATTTTTAGTATAACCGTTCT